GCAGCCCTGGAGCGCAGTGAGGGCAATTAGGGCAATGTTTGATTGCCTCCCAGGAGTTCATAGTCCCAGGGATGCTCTGAGGTGGTCCCAAACATAAGAGTGCAGAACCCGTGCAGTAAATAGGGGAATGCTCTGAATACACTGCAATGATGAAGACTTTCCACCTACATTTCTGTTAACGTTGCCCTGAGGTAATCCAAAGAGTTATTCTTAACTTGGTTTCTCTTGCATTCTTCTAGTTTTCCACATTCTCTCCTCTGTTTGACTCTCTCAAGTCAAAATACTATTTTTAAAAATAGTATTTCAAAGTGAGAACCATTAACTAATTAGAGATATGAATTATGGATGTCAAGGATGGGGACTTTAATGAAAAAGTGTGGTTTAGAGACAGAACTCCATGTTGAAGGTCCAGTTAGAAAACAAAAATTGCAAAATGTTGAAGCTCAGGTCACTGACCTTTGCTCTGTTATTCCTCTTAACAAGGGCAGAAATGACGAGTCATTGCTGGAAAGTGTAGGAAAATTGGCAAACAAATCTTGAAGGTAGCTTATTCACTTAGCTAATTCATCAGCAACTGAATGGTAGTTGATACTAGCCTCTGGCTTTGCTAAGTAGTCCTAGACCTTGCAGTGGAGGAGGTGTGCTTGTAGCTACAGCTGAGAGGCAAGGTGACCAGCGCTTGGTTTGAAAGGCTAACAGGGTGTCATGATGGATTATAAACAGGGTAAGCTCAGCTGCTTGTGCAGGAACCTTTGTGCTACGTAAGATAACATGAGACAAGCTTTGCTGTTCAGTAGTGGCTGTTCTCATTCAAATGCATGGCTTATCTATCTTCTTGTTTTTAATATCCTGTTAGCAATAGCAGCAGTGAGTTCTACATGTCTTTTTGAATTAAACTAAATTAATTGCTAGTTGATTTCACTGGGAAATTTAATTAGGACAGGGTTCTTCACTGAGAGAGCGGTCAGTCACTGGAACAGGCTCCTCAGGGAAGTGGTCACGGCACCAAGCCTGTCAGAGTCCAAGGAGTGTCTAGGTGATGCCCTTAGTCATATGGTTTAGTTTTAGGTAGTCCTGCAAGGAGCAGGGAGTTGGATTTGATGATCCTTATAGGTCACTTCCAACTAAAAATATTCTGTGATTCTATAAAATTTTCAAGTAGTGCTTTGGGTTATGGATTAGATAGTACACTTACAATATTTAAAGACAACATGGAACTAGAAAGTGGTACAAGTGTACCGGAGTCTAAAGAAATGATGAATGAGGGGGAACATAACAGCACTGAAATACATGATGACTTTGCAACAACAAGCTGTTATAAGGAGGAAAGGAAGAATCTCTTCTCTGTAGACTGGTGAATAGAGCAAGATCTGTTGCTTAAACTGCAGCAAGGAAATACAAGGTAGGTACCAGGAAGAAACCTTCAGTAGCATAGACAATGAAAACTGGATTATCTGGGGAATCACTGATGGTCTTTAAGAATAGGTTAGGCAATATATCTGTCAAGAGTAGCTTTGCTGAAAGATGAATAGCTGATGCCCTGAATTTGCTCCATCCCTACAATCCAAGATTGCCATCCCAGCATATAGCTTAGTAAATATAGTCTATCTGTATATATTTTATTCTATAATTTTCTTTTTAAGAGAAAGTCTTTTGCATATACACACTAATAACTTTTTACCTTTATAGATCCCATTCCATCCACCTAACTGAACATTTCCTCTGTGAGCCTCTAAGAATCCTCCATGATCAGATGCAAAATAAATGAATGTGGTATTCTTCAAGCCTTCTTTGTCAATAACATCCAGAAGCCTGCCTATAAACAAAGCAAAACATCGTAATTATATCCAGAGATACAGTCAGATTTTTTAGGCCTTGACTTAAAATTCAGTGAGGTCAGAGTCTTTCCATTTACCTGAATGAGTTCTGTTATGAGCTACCATAAGCAATGCAAAGAGTAATCCTGCATTACAGAAATAACAGTTTCTGCACAACAGAAACTGCTGAATGTGTCCAAAATTTGTCTGTGGTGCCTATGAAAACAGGTAAATAAAAAACTAACTGGAAAATAATTTAAATGAAAGATCCTTTTCTTCAAGCTACTCTGAATACTCTGTCAGCTTTATGCTGTAAATTCTGAGTCAAGGATCATTTCCATTGTGTAGTCTGAAGCATCTTGAAAAGCTTAAATAACAGTGCTGCCTAGATACCTAATCATAGAAAAGTGCTGTGTCTCAGCAGGAGCTGAACAGGGACTCTGAGATCAGGCTGCATACTATCAACCAAAATCTTCTCCTGATGTCAGTGGGAAAACTCCACGGAGTGCAATTCAAACCTAACTTCATAAGGAATGTTTTTGGTACTGATACCATCAAATATTTATACAGAATATGATTAATCTCCGATTACTTGTCCTCATCACTTACTGCATCAAATTTTTTTACCAAGAACTGCTTCCATAGCTACACAAGCAGCAGCAAAAGCTGAAGTATGCAAGGAAAAAGCATAAGCCTGCGGCTGTCTCTTTTTCTCAATCTCTTCTTAACAGACTTCCTATGTCTCTTTGGTAAAACTACTTATTGACCTTACCTAAAAATAGACACCTGCCCCCAAAAAGAGTTTAGACTGTCTAGGCATCCTTTGAATTAGACACCAAATCTCTTACTTAGCTCTCCAACCCTGAAGACTTCTGTCTTCACTATCTGCCATCCTTTTTGGACTGTAAAAGGCATCTTCCTTATGCCATTGGACTTCTGTTATCCAGCTTTGCTTGCACAGCTTGTGCCTGAAGGTGACTGGTGCCAAAAAGTTGCACGAGGAGCATGGCAGAGTCCTCTGGTTCAGCTGGATCTTGCAGAAGTTCTCAGCCTGCCCATCAAAAGCAACAGGGCTCCTCTCAAAATACAATTTTGTAAACATGGTTATTGGAGGAATAAAAGGTTCAGGGATTGAATCTTGGCCTGAACAGGAGGTGAATGCTTTGTCAATAGGGCCTTCAGTTTTGACTAAATACAAACAGGAGCTATCTCCCTCCCTCTCTCCCATTGAGGCAGAAAGGAACTACTAAGTAGGGAACTACGAACTAAGACTACAAAGTGAGTCTTCACAATATACTGACTTCACACAATTTATGAAGTGAAACTCCATAGCTTTTTAACTTGACCTTTTGGCTAGGAGGGAGTTCTGATTTCTGCTCCAGGGATTATTCTTCGATTAAAAACAAACAAGTACACAGACAACCACTGTATAATGTAATATTCAGCAGTGGCACCAGTTATATCTTCTGAGACTAGACAGAGCTGAAGAAATGTCATATATTTCGATTAACAATATGATCAAGCACATACTTGATTATTTGACCGCACTTAACACTGCAGCACAGAAGTGTGTCAATTAAAAACATAAAAAGAATAAATACTCATAAGAAAAGTTTTGGCTTTCATCGTAAGGAAGAAAAAAACAGGTGTCGCAACAGAATGGAAATCTCTGGAGTGAACTGTGATTCAAGTCAAGTTCACTGCATTTGTCATATGCAAAAAAGGGAGTTCTGTGACCACCTCTTTAATTTCTTTTCCACCTTTAAATAAATTAGGTATTTTCTTCAAGATAACCACTTACCCACCATCCAGTCCATCTCCTCTACATTATCTCCATATGGGCCATGCCTGCTTCTTCCCTGAAACTCCTCTGTGGTAATGAGAGGGGTGTGAACATGTAAAAGGGAAACAAAGAGAAGAAACGGTCTATGCTTGTTTCTGAAATAAAAGAAAACAATAGTCATTTCTCTGTAAACTGTCACTCAGCCCAAAATATAACAATGGCACAGTAGAGACTATCTCAATAAAAATTATTATTGGGGTCTAAAATACAAATTTTTTTATTTTGACATCTTTGCATTTTTGAGGTTTTGGGAGACAGAGAGGATTAAAACACCCCTCAAGGATTTTGGTTCTGTATTAATAGCAACATACTCTTTCTTTTTCTGGTTCCAAACTAGACATGTGTAGAACATTAAATAAATAACTAAGAAAGTTCACAGCCAAAGACTGTCACATTCTCAGAGGCAAGGAGAACTCACTTGCTTAAAATTCATGTGGATGTCACTAAGCATCTGAGACATCCTCACAGAAGAGGCAGGTATGACACTGCAACCACAGGGGAACCATACCCCTTGAACATCAGGCCAGGCAAGATGTCCTAGGAACCTGAGAATATCTGTGCTCAAAATTTTACAGAAGAGATTTATCTTACTCCCTACTTTCTTTAAAAAACCCTGACAGAAATAGTATAATCTTTTTCAGGGATATGCCTAGATTTGACACTATTTTGTAAAATATTAACTTCATGTGACACTTTTTTGACAGTTCATTCCTCAGGCTAAGATAATTTTTCTGTTCTTACTGGCAGAAGGCCCAGTCCTTGGCCAGGACCCCCTTGAACTAGGTGAACAAAACAAAAAATACCCACAATACGCAAACAAAAAATAATCTTCCTTTTCCTGAGGAGGTGACAAGCTATGTATAAGAGGAAGGACTGCAGTTGGATGCTGATAGGTATGGGGATGCCAGGAAACAACAAATTACTGGCCAGCATCAGAACAGGTAGAAAAGTGTGCCAGCTGCTTAACCTAGTGGCATATGACAGAATTATCACATTGTTTTAAAAAAATTCATTCAAATGGGGCACATTTTTTGTTGGTTACCTTTCAATGAATGAAACCGCCTCCTTCAGCATATTAAAAGTAATTTTTTCTAGATTCATAGGTTGTTCAGTGATATCAAGGTTTCTCATCAGGATACAGTTCCAATACTTGGTGAAACCATAGCTGGAGAACCAGGAGATGAAATACAGGAGACCACAGATGGCCAGACTTATTATTATTTTCCATTTTATTGCGAATAAATTGGTAAGTTTTCCAATCAAGAGAGTAAGCACTGCAAGGATGATCATCTGTGTGTAAAGCCAATATGTATCTTGCAAAGACTTGGCCAGTTCAGGGTCATCTGTGCCTTGACACTCATTCAAAAGGGTAAAAGGCATGCCATAAAAATAATCAAAGCCATGATTTAAAGGATGGTGGCAGTGATCACGGCGGGATTCGCAGTTCACACCCATATGCCACTTTCCTGAAAATATAAAACAAAGATCTTAGATCCAACATTGTTACATTTGAGTGTGTCTGCCTGTATTTGTAATAAGTTTGCTACACTCCTTAGTTAAGGTGCAGCCAAGGGAGGAGCTGGTGTGGAATTGGGACAGACTTTCAGGGAGCAACCATACATGGGCACTTTGTTTGCCTAGAACAGCTGATTTTCCTCACCTGTCTGTTACAATTCCACATGAGGCAATGGTTCAGCTCAGATGTCTCCCTGAATAAGAACAGGGTTGCAATAATTGGTGTGTGGTTAATTTTTTTTTCACATTATAAAGTAGCCATTCACTAATGGGCAGCCTGATGGAGAAAAAACTGAAGAAACCTTTGTACCAAAAGAAACAGCTAAGTGCAAAGATGTGAACTAATTTACACACAAGTTCTATCTGACCTTCACAGTCCAAGAACAAATTTTAGGAAGAAGTTGTACATATTGGCTCTGTGTGTCTATATTCATCAAAAAATGAGTAGCAAAAATAGGCCATTCCAATTATCCAGTACAATTGGATGTATCAGAATAGTCATACACTGATAATGAACATTAATGAAGTCATATCACAGAGCAGTGTAATTATCCTGATACTGAAGGACAAACAGTCTATAACCACGGGACTAGGGGCTATTAGCTAAACAAATACCTTCGGAGAACTGCTACTCAGCTCTGTGCTCATGTATATGAATGCAGTTTACAGTATAAGCTATACCAGACTGCAGTGAGGTAGGGAA